AATGCTTGTAAAAAGGGGGGAAAATAAATTATAGAGAACAATTAAAAAAGATTAATTGGAATGATAAAAAGGTTGTGTGGTGCACGCGCGCGCGTTGGTGATTATTTATTAAAATGGTGTTTCAAATGTCTTTTGAGTGAACGGTTAATGACACAAAAAAATCGAGAACAAATGTCGATTCTATTTGACATGTCATGTCTTTTAGTTTTTGCTGTTTTACAGTCCGTTTGATGGGATTTTTATTTTTGTTTCTACTTCTTCTTATTCTCAGAAATAACCATTGACTTTTCAAAATTCATACCAAATGAACCCTTAGTCTATTATAGAGAGTAGAGGTACTGCATTTTTTTCTCATGTTTCAACTGTATTTTGCATAAGTCATGCATTTCTGAGTTAGGACTCTAAAACCTATTCAAAATAAGCTCCTTAATTGTTGGCAATGACTTGCTCACTGTTTCTGCCTTGGAAGATCATACGTCCAAGTTGTCGCACCATTGTGTATGTATACTTAGGTTCGAGCCTACAGTCAGGCCTAGTTAGACCGTCGTCTCGATTTTGAAAGCCTATGTTTGATATAACCCGTTTGACCTTCATTCTTATTCTCATTCTTTTTTTCTCTCTTATTTTCAACCACATAATCTTTCATAAAATAATATTACACGCAAATAAAAAACTTTTCATTCTTTTTCAATTACACGTAATTCAAAAAAACATTATTCTCACTATTAAAATTTGACAAGAATGGGGGCCAAACGGGGGCTAAAGTTCAATTTTTTTAAATAAATTTTGAAAAGGCTAAATAATGATACATTTACGAGAGAGTTTTTGTTAGAATTGAATTTTTGGAATGATTTGAGTTGCCATTCTACTTTATAGGGTCTTCATTTTTCCATGTCACGCTCATTCTTAAGGTAATACTTATATGCACTATTTGCCTTATTTCAAATGATGAAATGAGTTGGCAAAGGTAATGAGATTATAAAATCCTTTTTGAATAATTAACGTCATAAAAATTTTATTGCAATTATTCAAATTTGGTTTAACTAATTATTGTCCGTATATATATTTTAAATTAATTGGGACGTAAAAATATGAACAAATCATTAACATTTCACTCTTGAAACAAAAAGTCAACTATGTTTTATGGTCCAAAACAATGTTTTAAATAGTGATTTTTAGGAGAATGTGTAGTTAAATAGTAGAAAAAGTTTGAAATTTAAGTGCAAAATATTTTATTGTATAAATATATTGTTGAAAATGAGTAAGTAAAAAAAATTCAAATAATGATTATCAAATAAGGGCTAAAAAGAAACATATTAAGCTCCAAGTTTGATTCAGTTAATAAGGTTGATTAAAATTTAAGTCAATAATTGATTTTAATCACACATTAAAGAATAATGCTACTCGCAGTTGCTCACTACGACATTCATATTATGCAACATTCATATGACGATGGTTATTTGATGTATGAGTCAATAAAAAAAATTTCACATTAATGCAATTCAATAATCACATATCATATGTATGTGGCGACTGACATAGTAAACGATTGCAAATAACATTACTCCACATTAAAATGAGATTTACAACTTTTTAACTACACATTTCAATCAATTTTTATGAAAAAATTAATAAAAATCTTTTTTTATTTTAAACCAAACAGGTGCTAAGAGATAATATATATAAAACCTGTAACAAACAATTAGCCCCACTAATTATAAAAAATTGTCCGGTTTTTTTTTTTTTATTTTGAGTACCTCTATTTTATATTGAAAAATGCCAAATTGATTTTTAGCCATTTAGTATTATAATATTAGCTTTTTCGTTACTATATTTTTATTTCTGTTTCAAGTGGATGAGTGAAGCTTACCTTCAAAAAAATCAATAGCTTGCAAAATAATAATAATAATAATAATAATAATAATAATAATAATAATAATAAAATCCTATACCTACGAAGCCCCCCGTCTAATTGGGTACACGGGGTGGAGACGAGGTGTCATTGCCTCACATGGAATGGGATAAGTTTGGTACGGAGAATATAACTTCGCTCTATTATCCACATTGATTAGAGTTTATTTCAAACTATAAGCTTTTGATCACATAAACGATAAGGAATCATTATCTTATCTAAAAAAACATAAATTATTCTACAAATTGAAAATAATAATAATTAATGATTTTCACCAACTAAAAACTTTAAAGAAATAAAAGCAAAAAAAAAAAAAAAAAAGGATGTAAACAGGACAAGGGACTTATGCCGCCCCTCCTGCATTTGGTATAAAATAGACAATGAGACAAAAATAGTCGACGGGACAAGCTTCGACCCCGTCTCCCCATTGCCATCCTTACGTTTGAAGACAGCAAAGGCCAGTAACCAAACTGGTGACTCGTTTGAACTCCAATACCTCATATAATTTTAAAATTTTATATTAATATATTTAGGGTTGGGCGCAGGTCGGTTTGGTTCGGTTCTCTTTAGAATCGAATCTACCCAAAATTTTTGGGTATCTAGTAAATGGAACCGTCGGGTCTAAATATAATTATGAAACCGTTCGGGTTCGGTTCGGTTTGGTTCGGTTCGGTTCTGTACTATAATTAAATTTTTTAACATTTATAACAACATTATATAAATACAACTAATGATACATTCAATGGTTTTGAAATGTCAAAAACTAGTAGACTACCTTATTCAAATGATTGCTACGGTCAAAGTTTCGATTGGCCGAGGTCACAGTTTCGATCGAAGGTCACAGTGTCAACCGACGATTGTATAAATTTTGGAATATTAGCGAGGCTGCGAGAGTAAGTGCAAGAGTTGAAACAACGTTATGCACTTTAGTGTAGGTGTTTATGGTTATTTAGTGGATTGAATCTTGTTGGGCTACGAAATGAAACAATAAAATAGGTAATTGGGTCAAAAATTAAAAAATTAGAAATGAAACAAATTATTGGGCCAAAATTCTGGATTAGAAATTGTTAATTTGTTTAGAAAAAATTAAAATAAAAATAATTTGATTTACTCAATATAAAAAAAAATTAGAAAGATTCGGTTCTTGGTCTAGAACCGAGAACCGAATCGTACCCGTCGGTTCTCAATTCAAATACCCGTTCGGGTATTTAGTTTGACAAGAACCGTCAGGTTCGGTTCAGGTTCGATTCGATCGGTTCGATTCGAAAGATTTGCCCAGCCCTAAATATATTTATCTTATTGGCCGGAAAGAAATTGCTAATTATACCGTTTTAGTATTGCTTAATACTTTTTAATTGGAAATATTAATGCTATTATTTTGACAGCTAAAGTTGACAGAATAATATATGCCGGTATCTGATACTGCAAATGTTTGACTAATCAATTTCGCAACAACCAAGATTTTCGTTCACTATCGATTATCAAGATAACAACAAATATCCAGTATAAACAAGTCAGCATGTGAAGGCTCTATATTACTATTTTTCTATTAATTATTTTTGAAGTCCGAGGCGACTTGGTAGTCCTTTCAACCTTATTGCATCGAAATCTTAAATTTAGAAAAGAAGAATCCTTAACGAAAAATTATTGCATCGTAGGGCTCATTTTGAGTTGTGGGTCATAGGGCACCACTATCCTACTCGTCAAAGGATTTCGAAGGTCAAGATGTCTTAGTGGTGAAATGGTAAACACACGAGACTCTAGTTTATCAAATCAAAAGTTCACTAACTAATAAGTCTCAAGTTCGTTTAGTTAAAAATTAGATTTTTAATAAATTTTAGCTCCTGTTTGGCCCCCACTTTTTAGAAATGAAAACAAGTAGAATAATATTGTTTTAAAAAATGAGTGGTTAAAAAAAATGAAAAATTTTCGATTTACGTGTTATACTATTTTATGAAAGATTGTGTGGTTGAAAATAAGAGAGAAAAATGGAATGTAATGTAATGAAATTTAACGGGAGGCCAAACGGGGGCTTAATAAAAATAGATGAATCGTATATTTGAAAAGATATTAAAAATAGTGAGTTTCATGAAATGTGTGATTAAGCTCCTGTTTGATTCCCATTTTTTTGGATAAAATGAATTATGAAATAGTAGTTTTTTGGAAAATATGTGGTTAAAAAGTAAGGAAGTTTTTTTGAAATTCGTGTATAATTATTTTATAAAAGAGTGTATGATTGAAAATAAATTTTGAAAAAATGCATTCTGGAAAAAATGGGGATCAAACAAGGGCTAAATATAAGATTGAATAAAAATGAATTTTATGCAATGGGGACAAACAAAGGCTAAGGTAACGGTTGGTGACTTTCTTGACAACATGCTGATTCTATGAAGCTTGGAAGTTTGGTAGGTGTATCATGAATTTTCTAGATTTCTGTAAGAAATGTTGGTCACTAGACTATGTTAAGTTTGTGGGGCCTACGATCGATAGATTTGTTTTCTTGGTCCATCATGGCAGAGGACACTACTATACTTGTCTAATCCATTTGAGTTCAATGTGTAATGGGACAAGGTTGATATCTTGTACTTAGCGATGAATGCTTCTTATTTTGGTTTAAATCTATTATATTGTAACATGGTGTAAAAATATTAATCAGTTTAATGCCTTAAGAAAACTAATTATTAACAACAATGAAGTCAAAAGTCGTGACTAAAGATTAAGAAACATGATATAAATACAGAGATTTTTTACGAATTTTCTACAAGACAGTTGTCTTCTTCCTATGCAAAATTTGTGAAAAACATCCTATATTTGAAAGAATTTTCCGAAGATTAATAATATGTCCGAACTAGAGGAAATTAATAGAGCTTACTTCTTTGATCAATTAAAAATATTGCAGAACGAAAAGGTTTTACTCAGAGTTTGAACAAAAGGGTTTTAAATCGAGAGTTATGAAAGGTTAAGCTTACCAAAATAATAATAATAATAATAAAATAAAATAAAATAAAATAAAATATCGCAGTTTTTTGGAGAAATTAAGGGAATGGTAGAGAGTGGACCCATGTTGATGAAGGAACTGCATATTGTATAATAAACGCTAAAATCAATATCTCATCTGCCAAATTTGGTTACATCAACCTCGCAATTTCTGCAGCTACACCTCCACATTTACTAGTTATATTACTTTCTAGAATCTAGATTTCTCCTAAATTTGAACCAAATCTTGAAGAATTTATCTCTCTCTTTTTTCTTTTTTTTTTCCTCTCCTTTTCTGGGCTACCCAATATTTTGTAGAACAGAATGAATGATTCTGAGACCCTTCTGTGTCAAGAAGACGAGACTTGTTTGAATGAAAACAATTACAAATTGGGCTTATGTTCTGTTTCTGAGTGTGATGATGAGGATATACAAACGTTAATCCGAAGAGAAGCAGTCACTTTTCAAAGTAATAGCACTTTCTCACTTCTCAAGAGTGAAAAAAGCTGGTTTAAATGCGCCCGTTTGGATGTCATCAAATGGATTCTCAACGTTCGTTTCCTCGATCTTATTTCTTAGTTTTGTTCATATTTATTGCTGGATATAAGTATTTTATCGGCTATTAAAAGTTTGTGTATATACATACAGACTAGAGCCTTTTTTGGATTTCACTTTCGCACAGCTTATCTCTCCTTGATTTATTTTGATGAGTTCTTTTCAAAAAGATCAATTGATGTAAGTGTTTCTTATTTTTAATAATTTATTTCTGATGTACTAGATTTAGATATTTGAGTCTATGAGATACTGTGATTTGGAAATATTATTGATTTTAATAGGATGGAAAATTGTGGGCTATTCGATTATTGTCAGTTGCATGTTTATCTTTGGCTGCAAAGATGGAGGAATTTAAAGCACCCGCATTATCAGATTATCATGTAGATGATTACAATTTTGAAGGACATGTGATTCAGAGAATGGAATTATTGGTCTTGAGTACATTGGAATGGAATATGAGTTTAATTACACCTTTCGCTTATCTGAATTATTTCACCACCAAGTTCTGTGGTGAATGCAGCCATAAAAAACTGGTAACTCGAGCAATTGAACTCATTTTCACCATAATAAAAGGTAAATTATGAAGACGGCATTGAGTTTGGATCTGCGTCTAAGAAATTAACTTTCTTTAGAATTTATATGTAGTTTTGCTATGCAGAGATTAATGTGGTTGAAAATCGGCCTTCCATAATTGCTGCAGCCGTGGTTTTAGCAGCTTATGATTACCAGTTAACAAAGAAAGTATTGGAGATTAAGGTGAACACAATCTCATCATGGGGGTCCCTAGAAATAGTGAGTTCCCTTGCTTTATATGGTAGTTAAAGACTGATAATAATTGATTTTCTTTCCTCTAATTATCTTAAACTTTGTGCGTTTTAACAGGAGCGTATATTTTCCTGCTATAGTCTACTGCAGGAAATTGGGATGCTAGAATCAAAGACCCCTAACTCTGTGATTCCTCCAAATATATTTTCGACGCTCTTGAGTTCCACAGGTGTTCTTGAGAGTTCTTCGCTCTCCACTGCAGGCAGTAAGAGAACACTTACCTATCCGGACAATGATCAAGATTGTCCTGCGCAGAAAATTCCTCGAATATGCTGATCAGTACAAGTTTCATCTAATACAGAGCGTTTATTTGTGTTTTTCATTGCACAGTAATGAAGTCTTGAAGTTAGATGATGAAATTGAATTATAGGATTTAATGAAAGCTACAAATACCAACATATGGTATGATTTGTAGTTGATGGGGGGCCCCATTTTCCAGTATTTAGCAAGTTTTTGGTAGTGACAACCAAGTAAATATTGAAAGGTGCAATTTGCATAAATAAAGGGAAGAATATCTTCACCAACTGGAGTACTAATGGCATTTCGTGAGGAATTGAGAGCCAAAGAAATGTTCATTTGTTAATATACTTTTTTCAGTAGTGTTTGGTTTCTTGAATGCTACAAGTGTTTCTTACATTTTCGACTCGTTCTCTTTTCTTTATTTCCTTCATTCTTTTTTGTTGATCACTGTGACTTGTTTTATGCTCTGCATTTTGCTGCGAATCTTGAAATGGTACTTATGTCTTTAGAGACACTAAAATAGAATTGTTTTGTTCGATGTGATACATCCATGTCACACGCACACAAAAACAGTTGAGCTGAACTTTTACATCTTACATTTGACATTTGACATTTGACATTTTTATGCTCTCTTGGCCACAACCTAGAGTTGCCATCCCCATCTAGTGAAGAACCATTCTTTGGGCGCTTATCGTCAAACTCCAAATAGTAATGTTCCCAACGAAGTTCATAGTTTAATTGTTCATCTGTTTTTCTTTCATTCAATCCCAAGATTCTGGCAGATTCTGGCAGAGAATGAACCTTGATGGCATTAAGCTTACTATCATAGCGGGACATTATCCTCAAATGTTGTCTCATAGGATGGTACGAGTTTTAAATGTATGTGTCAAACTTCATGTTCAAATTACTTAGCTTGGCCAAAGCTATCGGTCCAATCTGTCTTGAAAACTTCCCAGATGAACCGATAAAACATTAAACACACTAGGTTCTGTGCAAAGCTAATATGTAGTTGTGGTTGTGGTTTCATCAAAAGTCTCCATGGGATCTTGTTGGTAGGATGAAGAGAAAGCAATGCTTTTACAGCTACTCTGAAAAACACAAACATATGTTTGTCCGTATGTAAATAAATTGATAAATCTTACATGAACTTCCTGACTGTTAAAAGGGATATGCTCTAACAAGCTAATGAAATTAACACTCTGGTATGTGATTAGTGTCTAAAAGTGCTTCAAAGATATATCATTTAGAAGGCATTTTACATTCACTTTGTTTAAAAACGCTAATGTTAGTCTCTAATTCCAATTCTCATGCCGTAAATTCAATTTCCATAAATACAAGGTTAAAAATGCAATTAATTGAAATACGTATTTACATACATGGTGGCATGAGTATTATACATTTGAAAGAGTATCTATTTGATGTATTTCACTTGTATTTCCAAATTAGAACAAGTGGAGCAAGTGGAGGAAAATAATGTTGAAAAGTCAAAAATAGTGACTGCCTCAAGCAAGAAGCAGCTGTTGGTAAAATAATCATAACTTGAGCTTCAGACATTGGATCGAGGTGATTCAAGTTGGGTTGGAAAGA